ACGGTAAGTGCTGCGACCGATATGGGGTTTGATCCCACAACCCTGGGACCTGAGTGGAAATCAAGAGTCAGACACTCAACCAACTAAGCCACCCAGGTTCCCTGAGGACTCCCCATTAAAATTTTTTAATGTTTATTTAATTTTGAGAGAGAGTGACAGAGCGGGAGTGGATGGGGAGGAGCAGAGAGAGAAGGAGACACAGAATCAGAAGCAGGCTCCAGCCTCTGAGCTGTCAGCACAGATCCACATGCAGGGCTCGAACCCAAGAACCGTGAGATCATGACCTGAACTGAAGTCGACCGCTTAACTGACTGAGCCACCCAGGTGCCCTGAGGACTCCTCAGTTTAAAGGGAACACGAACAACTGCAGATCCAGTGCCTCCTTAGAGTATCAACTCTGGCTGACCATTAGAACAGGGAAATTTAACATCAACACGCATGCCTGGGGGATCATCCCCAAACCATTGGATCAAAATCTGTGGAGGTGAGGCACTGGTATGTATTTTTAATTTATAATTTTGAAGTAATTTTGAACTTACAGAAAAGTGGATGTCATCATCCAAAGAACTACCAGGTCCAGCAGTTGTTTATACTTTGCCATACTTACATTACCATTTTCTCTCTGTGTATGCATACGTATACAGGAGTGTTACATATTCTTTTTTTTCTGAATCATTTGAGGTTAAGCTACATGTCATATCCTTGGTTTCCTAAAACCTTCAGCATGTATCTTAAGAATGAGGAGGTTTCTTATATAGCCCAGGAACATTGTTCAAAATGAAGAACTTTGATAGTGCCATGTAGTTATTTATATAAAGCTAAAATTTGCTAATTGTCTCAAAAATGTCTTTCGTAGAATTTTTTCCCATACAGGAGCCAATCTAAGATCATGTGCTGTGTTTAGCTGTCACGACCCCTTTTTCCTTCCTTAATCTTGGTCTTTCTTGACAATGGCATTTTTTAAGAGTCTGAATCAGTTATTTCGGCGTGTGTCCTTCCATTTGGGATTGTCTGATGTTTCCCCATGAATAGATTCAAGTTATGTGTTTTGACAGGGATAGTGCATAAACATATGTGATGTGTGTCCTTCTGGGTATATCATACCAGGAGGCACGTTATGTCAGCTTATCCCAATACTGGTGATATTAATTCTGAACACATGGTGAAGGTGGGTCCGCCAGGTTTCTCTAAATGCAAAGTCAGTATTTTCTCCTTTGTTTAGTGACTAATTTTTAGAGGGATATTTTGGGACTCTAAATATCCTATTCCTCATCAAATTTTCACTCAATGGTTTTAGCAAGGACTGATGATTCTTGCCTGAGTTAATTATTTACTAATATGGTTACAAGATGGTGACTTTTTAATTTCATTATACTTTCTTTCTTGAAGTTTATTTATTTATTTTGAGAGAGAGAGAGAGAGAGAGGCACAGAGAGAGGGAGAGAGAGAATTCCAAGCAGACTCTGTGATGTCAGCATGATGGGGCTCAAACTCACCAACTGTGAGATCATGACCTTAGCTGAAGTCGGACGCTTAACCTGAGCCACCCAGGTGCCCCTAATTTCATTATACTTTCTCTGTATTAGTTGATATTCTAGTGTAAGGAAAAGCTTCCTCTTCTCCCTCAGTTGTCAGTGAGTTATAATTCATTACTGTCCTATTAATTTTGACACTTAACTGTCCCAGATTTGCTCAGTGAGACTCCCATCAAGCTATAGCCTGTATTCTTTTCCCACGTCCCCATCTTTATTTTCTGGCATAAGATGTTCTAGGCTGATCTACTTTCCTTTCACCAGGCCGGGAATCAGCCATTTCTCCATGAAACTTTTTTTTAAGTTTATTTTGAGAGACAGAGGGAGCACCAGCAGGCGATGGGCCGAGAGAGTGAGGGAAAGAGAGAGAATCCCAAGCAGGCTCTGCACTGTCAGCACAGAGCCCGACTTGGGGCTCAAACTCACAAACTGTGAGATCATGACCTGAGCTGAAACCAAGAGTCTGACACTTAATTGACCAATCTACCCAGCCATCCCCATTTCTCCAAGAGACTTAACTCTGTTTAGAGTAAAGCGTACTTAGAAACCAAGATCTGGGCACTAAGAGTGCTCATTGCTTCTAGGATTTTCTGTCAATGGCTTTTAGAAAGCTCCCAAGGTGATTCAAATGTGCAGCCAGTATTGAGAACCATTGTCTCTGAAGAAGAGGTCCAACCATTACCTAAATAGATGGCTCTGGGGAGTGAAGAGAGAGAGGAAATTTTAGGAGCTATGGAGTACTGTATGAATGCAGTATATCTCAAAGCATGGGTAAAGACACATTAGTGGGCCATGAAATTCATTTGCTTAGTCATGTCCAGCATTTAAACAAAACAAAACCTCAACAGAACAGTAGGGTATGCACTAGATTATAATATAAAGCTATTTCTTACTGGGTCACAGTCCAAAAAGAATGAGAATTGCTGGTCTAAAAAGTGCTTTGCTTTTCTCTTCTCTGTTAGACAAGAGTGGGTGCTTTCCCCAAGCCAAACCCTAATCCAGGGGAGGTAAGATCGAAGGGAACACCTCAAAAAGATGGAGGGTATCTCATTATTTGGTTGAACATTTGCTTTAAGGACAGATTTACATACAGCTCATTCCCCTTGCCTGTCTGAGCAGGTTCAGTGTGATCTAGGTAGACACACGGGGGCAGAGATGGAAGGCAATGGGGAAGTGTGCATGTCCACCATGAGAGTGAGTCAGATGGACAGTGGGAGGTAACTTGGAACTATCTTCCTAATACCCCAGACAAGAGAGCTGGCCACTGGGTAAGGAGATCCCCAAGAGCAAAAGGAGGAGACTGGCAGAGGTGGGATCTGGGGTGGTGGTTGAAGAGGTAGAAATGGATCCAGATCCCCACAGGGGTGTTCTGCCACCTGTTGTTTCCCCCCAGGAAGAATGCATATGAAATACAGGAGTCAGAGAGTCAACATGGAGATGCCTGCCCAAAGGACACAAAGAGCAGCCTTAGCTGGAGAAGCTGCGGTAGCCAAAAGAGGATCACGACAGACAGTGATCTGTATCTCCCTCCTTCCTACCCATCCCACTAGAGGAGAAAGAGATTCTAACAAGGAAAGTGTGGAAGTGTGAAAGCTCTAATAGTTCTTTCTCCCACTCCCATCCCCACTGATGAAGGGTAGAGGGGGTTGGGTAAGCATTAAATGGTTTGTGAGATTAAAATTTTAAACTAGACAGGGTTTTCTGAAATTAGAACATACTGAAAAAACATGGAATCCACCCAATATGCAATGAAGGGACTGGAAAGACAGATTCAAGAAAGCAGGGTTGAGATAGTGTCTGGGGAGAAGAGAAAGGTTTGGTTTAGATCCCCCATGTTGAGAATGTTCAGTAAATACTACCTTAAGGAGGCCTGAAAGATGAGAAGGAGCTGAGGATGGGTTATCTGGCAGGAAAAAAAAAAAAAAAGTACAGTGCCCCCTGGGTGAGGGAGGTATTAGGATATGGAAAGAACAAAAAAGTCTGGAGGGGCTATAGTCTACTGACACAGGACAGGCTGGATGGGGAGTTGAGACAACTCAAAATATAGATGGCCTGTAGCTTGCTGAGGTGAGTAGGATCATTTTTTCATAAACTGTAAAGTATTCTGTGTTTATTTCAAAGATTTCAGGGGCACCTAGGTGGCTCAGTCAGTTGAGCATCTGACTCTTGATTTCAGCTTAGGATGTGATCACAGGGTCATGGTATTGAGCCCCACATTGGGCTCCATGGTGGGCATGGAGCCTGCTTGGGATTCTCTCTCTGTATCCCTCAGCCCCTCTCCCTAGCTCATGCTCTTTCTCTCTCTAAAATCAAAACAATTTTTTTAAAGATTCCAACAGCACACCTCTCCCCATCTTGTATAAATCCTAAAGGTAGCGTATATCATTAATGTAGTCTTCCAGGCTGTTTATACATCTCTGTGTTTCCATGTATATACTTTTAATATGGATGAAATCTTATGGTTCTGCTATCTTTTCCACTTGATCATATATAACAAATCTCCTTCCATGTTGTTGGTTGAATAAATAATGCTAACTCCATACCATGCAGCTGTTAAACTTCACAATGCTACTCTTTAGTTGTTGACCAGAATGATGTTCTGATTGTAATATGTAAAATCCTATTTTTAATAAAATATATATAGACACTTCTTTGTACCTGTTTGTACCAGAAAATGTATAGAAGGATATATACCAAAATATTAGCAGTGGTGGGATTTCTGTTTTTTTCCCTTTTTTTGGCTGTTGTTTTTCTTTTGTAGTTTCTTTAAATATATATATTTTATTAAGTAAATTCTATAAATTTATATATATATATATACAAATTTATTAAGTAAATTCTAGACCCAACATGGGGCTTGAATTCAACCCCAACCAAGATCAAGAGTTGTATACTTTATTGACTAAGCCAGCCAGGTGCCCTTTGGCCATTGTTCTTCTAATTTTTCTATTGTAAATATGTAGTAAATTAAAGTTCTATAATAAAAAATGTGGAAAGCAAATAGAACAAAATGGTGTTGTTATTCTTTGTTCTTTGTGTGTGTATGTGTATGTGTGTATGTGTTTGTATGTGTATGCATAGGCGCGTGTGTGTTTAATTTTTTACCAAAGGGGAGGGGACAAACATAAAGCATCATTTCAGTTTAGACACACAATCAACAACTTAAAAAAATAACCACCCATCCGAGTGTGGTTATCCTTGATGTCTTATAGCTTCAACAAAAAGACGTGCAGACACAAGCTGACCCTGGATTCGTCCCTGAGTGAGGCAAATGGCCATGTAAATTATGTCACATCACCTCTGGCATTCCAGAGTAGAATCTTAATATGCAGCCACTTCCCCCCAGCACAGACTGAGTTCCCTGCAGATACAAGGACCCCATAAGAACCCAGAGGGCTTCCTTCTGAGCCTGGGCTAAGACTCAGGCTTTTCCTAAATAAACTAAGGACTGTGAATTGAATAACTGACCTTTCTGTTCTTGTTTGGCCCAGAAAATCTTGACTCTCTCGCGAATGTGGCTGTCTTCACGCAGTTTCTTCTGCCACTGACGCAATTCTTGGATCTCAGGATCGCACCGAACCTGGAAAATGCCCACAAAGCTTTAGTTTTTTTCCTACAACTTCTACACATTAGCTTGCTAACTCTGCATGGAAAATCCCTTACAAACCGACTGGATATACTTTAAATTCTAAGTGAATCAGCATTCTAAGTGATTTCTCTAAACTCCTACAGCTTATGTAGTATTTGAGTATAAATGACATTGTGTGAAGATTTGTTATACTAATGGTAGGTTGAGAACATTCTAGATCTGTGCTATTCAACAGAAATACAATGTAGCCAATGTGAAATTTTACATTTCCTTGCAGTTCCATTTTAGAAGGTAAAAATAAGCTAGTGACATTATTTTTAAGAATATATTTTAGGGGCGCCTGGGTGGCTTAGTCAGTTAAGCGTCCGACTTTCGCTTAGGTCATGATCTCGCGGTTCGTGGGTTCGAGCCCCGCGTCGGGCTCTGTGCTGACTGCCAGCTCAGAGCCTGGAGCCTGTTTCAGAGTCTGTCACTCCCTCTCTCTCTGACCCTCCCCTGCTCACGCTGTCTCTTTCTCTCTCTTCTAGAAATAAATAAAACATTAAAAAAAATTTTAAAAAAAGAATATATTTTATTTTGGGGCATATGCGTGGCTCAGATTAAGCGTCTGGCTCTTGATTTCGGCTCAGGTCATGATCTCACTGTTCATGAGTTTCAGCCCCGCGTTGGGGTCTCCACTGACAGTGTGGAGGCTGCTTGGGATTCTCTCTCTCTCTCTCTCTCTCTGCCCCTTCCGCACTCACACTCTGTCTCTCTCAAAATAAACTTAACAAAAGAATATATTTTATTTAACCTCAAAGATCTAAAATATTATTTCAATATATAATCAATACAAAAATTATTTATGAAATATTTTATGCTCCATTTTCCATACTTAGTCTTCAACATCTAGTGTGTATTTTGCAGTGACTGCACAGCCTAATGTGGGCTAGAAACATTTCAAGTGCTCAATAATCACACACAACTGGTGGCGACTGTATTGATTTTAGAGGAATCATAGTCAATGTATTAGTTTAACACTGACTGAGTGCCTACTGTGTACTGGGCTTTGTGCTATACCTTGGCGATTAAGAGATTATTGATATTTTTAATTAAGTTTTTGTTTTACTATTCTGTAGCTCATATTTATTAAGCACTTAGGTCCCAGGCATTGTTTAAGTCTTTTACAAAATTTAACCATCAGAACAATCTAATGATGCAAGAATGATTATGTGCATTTTATGGATGAAGAAACACAGTTTAAGCAGCTTGCCGAGTCACAGAGCTAGGAAACAGTGTTGAGATTCAAACATAGGTAGACTGTTCCAGCTGCCCTTGGAATGAGAATCCAGTAGGAGATACAGAATATACAGGAGTAAGATCAACAAGGAGTGGTAAGAATAAGGATATCAATGAGTACAAGGGAATACAGAGGGGGAACTGAGCTCAGCCTGGAGCAGTCAGGAAACATGGTCATGGAGGAGATGACCCCTGGGCTGAGTTTTGAAGCATAAACTAGAGTTAGTCATGGAGAGAAGGTGGGTAGAGTGTCATGGTGGTCCAGTTTTGCCTTATTGTGATCGTATCACAAAGCCAGGGCCCGCCCTCCTGCTTTTTCAAACAAACATTGGATCTGGAACCTTCCTGCTCTAGTCATTGGGATCCAGGCTTCCTGGATGAGTTTCCAAAGAGTTCTGCTGTATTCTAGAAGGGTACTGGCATGATTTTTATAACTAGGAACCTTGGGGAGCAATGTTGGGGTTGGGATGATCTCAGTCCCTTCCCTTCCAGAAAGTTCCTTGGTTCTTTATGCAGATTGATCTCATGCACCCCAGAGCTCTACTAAGAAGCATTTGGAGAAATGGCCTTAACAAACTCAAGAAAAATAAAGTCCTTCCTATTACTTCATCTCCTAGAGCATGGGGTGCCTTATTATCTTAATAAAACTACTCAAGTAATTTTCTTTTCCAAGATAAAAAAGACTGTTTCCTGCTGAACTTATAAATGGCAGCTACTCTTGTTTAAAGGAAAAGAAAATATATAAACTATCTATAAATGTATATTTTTGTTAATTATTTTTTAAAGATATTTTTAACGTTTATTATTTGTAAGAGAGAAAGAGAGAGAGAAGACAGAGACAGAGAGTGAGCTGGGCAGGGGCAGAGAGAGAGAGGAAGACACAGAATCTGAAGCAGGCTCCAGGCTCTGAGCTGTCAGCAGGGAGCCTGATGCGGGGCTTGAACTCATGAACCACGAGATCATGACCTGAGCCGAAGTCGGATGCCTAACTGACTGAGCCACCCAGGCACCCCTATAAATGTATATTTTTAAAACTATACATACAAAGTACTGTGTATGTATATACTTTATATGTATATCATGTGTATACATGTATGTATAGACATATATGTATAGTACTTCGTATATAATGTATACACATATACTAGCATAAAGTTATGCAAATTTCAAAGAATAAAGTCACCCTATATTAATGTCATAGAACATAAAGTAATTCCCCAAATCTTTTAAGTTACAAACCAATGTTTTTACAGTGTTTCCTAAAGTCTTATGTTCAAAAGATTAGGCACCTTCACCATCTCTGTTCTGTCGGCTAAAGCAAATCCAAGCCCTCCTGGACAGCTAAAACGGAGGTTATGCACATCTTTTCCAGCAGCTTCTGTTTATCTGGATCCAAACACGCAGAAATCCCACATTTCTGCACTGTGACAACCGATACTCATAATGCTAATAAACACAAAGGATCTTCTGAATCACTAAACAAAGGTTAACACTAATTATAATCAGCAAGTTGACTAGGTTTTATTATAGTCAAATTCTTTCTGTATAACTGATGTATTCCTAAAGTTTGGAAGAAGACACAGAGTGTGGGTTCCTCTAGAAAGGAAGTAAAATGGGGGAGGGAGCTTTTGCTTTTTATTCCATATTTTTCTCGACTGGATTGTTTGGGATGTTTACAATGAGCATATAGTTTTAGGAATACAAGTGTTTAAATTTTAAATTAACAGGCTGCTGAGGGGCCAACAAGAGTTTTTTAACTTAAGAATAACTGATGAATTTTTCTGACAATACCTTGAAGTCTCAATTACCTAAATATTTATCAAATAGAAACACCCATTTTTTTCATCATTCCAGAAGGCTACAGATGTTCTCAGGGTTCTGCTGACCAGTTTAGGGTGATTTTCTTCTGTCTGGCCAGAGATTCTTCATGTTTTTCTCGATTTCCTTCCTTTGGAAAGCAAGGATTGTTTTTTACTAAAGTGGAGTGCGGCAGCCTTGTTAGTTAACTTTTCATTACCAGGAAAGCCTGGATCCCTAGAGAAGGCTTTTGTGAGCTCTGGGGAAAGCATGCACCCATTGAACAGGGCTAATCCCTGTCATTATAGTCATGATTACGGAATCAATTTAAATGGCAGTGGCTGTGCCAATCAGCAAATACCTCAGAATGCACTGTAATGTTTAACACATTAACAGTTTTATTGCTTTAAACAAAAAGTCTTCCTTATGAGTGGCTTCCTACTTTTACTTGTTTAAATGACCACATGGAGTCCATCTGCTCTTCCAAGATAGGCACACTGAATATTACCACTTATCGTGTACTTGACTTTGGGTAAGCCAAGGAGGAAACTCCAATATGTGGATGTGAATTGTTTTAAAAAATGCCTATGAACCAATCAAATTCTCCTAATTATCTATTACTCTGATGATGAAAGCCAAAACAGCGTACCATATTGGTTAAGAAATCCAATTCTTGATCAGAAAGTCTGATGTTGAATCTCAGCTCTGCAAATGACAAGCTGAGGAACCCTGAGGAAGTTACTTAAACTGTCTGAGCCTTGATTTCCTCATCTATAAAATGGAGATAGTATAGATTTTTCCTTCATTGCATTGGTGTGAAAACAAGAGGAGGCATTGTCTGGTCCATAGTAAGCCTTCCCTATTTTAGCAATTTCTTACATCAACTAATAAAGTAATAAGAATAATCCAAGTTCAGCCCTGAGATTGCATCCTACAATTGCTGGTAGGACATGGAGCCAATTGGCTGAAGAGCCAGTGATTCATAAAATTGGAAGTGAGGCCTCTTCCCAAGGGCTTACAGTTTATTGAATACATAAATGATCTTATAATTATATAACTGTAGGGATTGCTCAGCCAGTAGAGAGGTATCAGGGCCGTAGGATGGTGACTGCAGGCAGGGAAGAAGAGAGGGGGCCCCCTGGCTGGGACTTGGAAATTGCCCTTCTTAGATCTTTACGTCTGAATTCCTCTTAGCTCAGTTGTTTTCCTCGGTTCTTGGCAAAACAGACAATAACATAGCAACGCTTAATGTCTCTGGAGGATTCCCTGGAGCTTTTCTAGTTGCTTTGGAGGAAGAAACTTTCAATATAGTACAGTTCCTGGAAAGATGCTGAAGAAACAACGCAACGGACAGCCCTTCAGTAATCCTGGCAAGAGTGAGCTCCAAGTGGGTGTGAGACGCCTAGGAAAGTTCTTACCACATCCTTGCCATGACTTGATGTACTAAATACTGAGGATTTTATACTCAGGAAAAGTGGATTTCAACATAAAGGCGATACATGTTTGCAAATTCTCTTGTAAATACCTAATGAAATATTCAGGGTTCCCTACTCTCTCATATGTTCCATTTTCTCTCTGTAAGTAAGCTTCATGATTTCTTCTCAGATCTTTGGCAAAATGGAACAAAAATTGGTTTCTCATTCTGGTGGTTATAAGTGTTCCATACTGTTTTTAGGAACTAGTTATAGAAACCTGTCCCAGAATGCACTGTAATGTGTCCCAGACACTCTTCTGTAGTAAGACAGTATGCGTCTTAGGAGTTGCTGGGGGGAGTTGCTGGGGGCTTTCAGGGAGGGGCAGAAATGTGTTCTAGAGAAATATATATTGTTTTAATTTTTTAAGAGAGAAAGTGCACAAGCAGGGGAGAGGGGCAGAGGGAGAGAGAGTCAAAGAGAGAATCTTAAGCAGGTTCCACA